TTTATATATTTCTGGATAGTAAAAAGATAAAAAATAAAAATAAAAACTAAAGTATTGCATTCACGAACTGTGACATAAGCAGCCAAACTAACCCAATATTATATATATTAATTTATTTAATGATATAGTTTATATACACCACATCATTAGCTTCAAATTTTGGTCTCAAAATTTCCTTTTATTTTTTCCGTGTCCAGCATGTAAATATTAATATTTTATATATTTTTGGATAGTAAAAAGATAAAAATAAAAAATAAAAACTAAAGTATTGCATTCACAAACTACGACATAAGCCGCCAAACTAACCCATTTTCGCACATAAAACCCCTGAACTATTTTTTATCCTTACAAGCCCCTTAACTTTTGGATATAAGCAAATTAACCCTTTGTTAGGGCTTTCAATACTAGTCGTTTAAAAATCTGATCACAGAAGTCAAAGGAAATAGTTAAATCGTAGTTTAGTGCATATACTTTTCAAATTTTAAATAAAATTAATCCCTATACTTAAACAAGCTTTACTAAAAAATTTAAAACAAAAGAAAAAAGTATCAATCCTGTTAGCAGACATTCCAAAACCCCACCCCACCATGGTTTTCATCTTTCAAGAAATCCATTAAACATTATTTTTCAAACTTCTCCCCAACTCATCCCAAAGTCAAAATGAAAAATTAAAAAGGCAAAAAAAGTCAAGATGAAATTTTCAACATTCTTGTTTTTTCTAATGCAAGGGAGTACAATTTTACATTGATTTGATTGTAAGAGGAAGAACCTGTAAAACTAAAATGAAATCTATTTATGAATTATGTAAGGACAAAATTTTAGGTTTGCTTTAAATCAATTTTAGTTCTTAAAGATTTCTTAATTAGGAGTGCTTTAAATCAATTTTAGTTCTTAATTAGGAGGTGAAAAAAAAAAGTTAGTTTTGCTTAGCTTCTTGCCTATATAAAGTATAAACAGATAACGTTCGAACGAAAACTCAATTGTAATTCTCAATTATTTCATTCATTTATTTAATAATTAAATCTAAAATTCCATTTATTTTTATAATTTATTAATATTTTAATTAGAGAAAAGT